AATTTCTTTATATCTCTGTTTCTTTTTCCTTTAGTTTGTGATTTTGGTTTTGTAGTTTTCTATTATATTTTCTCAGTTTCCTCTTTTTTAAAAAAAGTTTCATATCTCTGCTCTATGTTTATGTTTTGTGGCTACCCTGAGGTTTGTGTAAAATACCTCATAGATAAAATAATTCTTTTTTTGCTGACAGCATCTTATCTTCATTTACCTCTATGAGTACTGTTTTTCCCTCTTGCTCTCATGTTTCTCTTACCTTAATTTATCCCTTTCTGTGTTGTGTGTCACCAAACAAAAATAGTGTATGTATTTTTCTGCTTCCTTTTCTCCCTCTAACCTTTATACTAGAGTGTTTGGAAACCTATGGAGAGTTGTAGTTTTCTGGTCCTATTTACCACCTTCCTCAAAAGTTTTATGTATTTTGGCTGTTTAGTTTCTGGTAGGAAAGCTCCTTTCAACATCTCTCGTAAGTGTTGATGAACTCTTTCAGCCTTTGTCTGGGAGAGACTTCATATTTGAATGATAACGTTGCTAATGACAGTTTTTATCTTTCAGTATTTTGAAAATGTCACTCTACTCCTTCCTTGTCTTTAGAGTTTCTACTGAGAAATCTGATAGCTCAGTGTGGGTTCCTTTGTAGGTTATGATTCTTTTTCCCCTGGCTGCCTTTAAAATTTTTGCTTTGTCATTTACTTTTGACAACTTTAATATTTAACGTGTCTTGGAAAACATCTTTTTGCATGGAGGCAATTAGGTTTTCTTTTAGCCTTATGGATTTCTATATCTGGTTTCTTTTCCAAATTTGGGGAATTCTTAGCTGTTATTTCTTTGAATAACCTGTGTACTCTTTTCCCTTTCTTCTGAGATACTCATATTAATGCTGCTCTTCCTAAAAGAGTTGGATAGCTATCATAGGATTTCCTCATTTTTTGAGTGTCTTCTTTTTCTTCTTTTACCTGTATCATTTCAGGATTTCTGACTTCAGGCTCACTAATTCTCTCTTCTGTGTGATCTGCTCTATTTCCATTGCTTATTGTACATCCTTCATCTCATTTATTGCATTCTTCAGCTCCAGAATTTCTGGATGGTTCTTTTTTAGAGTTTCAGTCTCTTTGGTAAAGTATTCCTTTTGTTAATTTTTTTTCCTTCTGTTCATTGATTTTATCCTGAGTTCATTAAAGTGACTTTCTGAGTTTTCTTATATCTCATTGAATTTCTTCAAGACAGCTATTGTGAATTTTCTAGTAGATCGCAATATTCCGTGACTTTAAGTTTGATTTCTGGAGCCCTGTCATTTTCTCTTAGTGGTATAGTGTTAATGTGGTTCTTTCCTTTGGTAAATTGTTTCTCTCCCAGCATATTTGATATTAAATGACAGGTTAGTCATTTAGAGTCCTGTTTTGTTTTCCAGTAGGTGGCGCTATTGTACAAGTTTTTGGTTTCTTTTACCTGAGCTGCCTGTGGATATGTTTGAGAGTGGTACTTCTCTTTAAGAGGTTTGGCTCTGTGCCTTTGTTTTTGCTTCTTGTGCTAGGGTGTCATAGCTGCCTTGCTTTTGCTAGAGCTGCTGTTGTCACCAGGGTGGTAGGTTCTTTCATTCCATCTGGAATCCCCTGAGATGCAGGCCTTGCTGTGAGAGACACATTGGTGGTTGAGAGCCAGGGTCACACAGATGCCTCTTCCTTGTCTGTTGTTGTGAGGTTGGCTGGGCTCTACCATTGCAGATAGGGGTGGGGTGGTGGCTGGTGTTGTGGCACCTCAGCTGCTGGAGGGACAGGGTCACAGGCTCCACTGCTGCTGTGTCCCAGTTAGCTATGGCCATGGGTGCCCTTGTGGATGGGTGGCCAAGGTTGTGTGCCCTGCTTTCCTAGTTGTTTCTGGGTTCTCTGGAAATGTAGGTGTCACTGCCAAGGTCAGAGTGTGGGCATTGGAGGCACCGTCTCCACTGCTCCACTGGTTTCACTGCTGTGTGTGTTATAGTTCACCTACCTTTAGATGTACAGATGTGTGGAATTCTCTGGTTTCCTATTGTGCTGATCAGAAGAACCTTTGTTGAGTTTAGGATGTTTTACTGGTTGTAGATAGAATGGGAGAGACAGAGGTAGATTTTTCACTGCATCATGTTTCTGACGTCACTTTGAGATACACCACTACAGAAAATAATCAATTTACAAAGGAACAGAACAGGAGAGGAAGAAAGGAGCAGCAAATACAAGACATCCAGAAAACAATAAGATGGCGTTAGTAAATTCTTACTGATCAATGATTACTCTAAATGTAATGGATTGAATTCTTCAGTCAGAAGACATAGAGTGATGGATGGATTAAAAGAGAAGACCCGATTAAATACTGCTTGTAATAGACTCATTTTGACTTCAAGAGACTTAAAGGACTCACATGGGCTCAAAGTGAAGGGATGGAAAAAGATTTTCCATGCAAGTGGAAAGCAACAGAGCAGAGACAGGTATACTTATATCAGGCAAAATAAACTTTAGGCCAATAATAGTTGTAAGAGACAAAGAAGGTCATTACATAATGAAACTGGGCTCAGTTCATCAAGAAGATAGAACATGGTAAATACACCTAAATGTAGTAAGCCAACACTGAGAGATCTGATGGGAGAAATGAGTAACACTACCATAGCAGTAAGGGGACTCTCCACTTTCAACAGTGAATAGGCCATCTGGACAGAAAATCAATGGAAATGTTTGATTTGAACCATAGTTTTTACCAAATAATTCAATCAGACAATGCAGAACATTTGATCCAACAGTAGTAGACTACAGTTTCTTCTCAAGTATGTGCAGAGTGAATATTTTGGATAGATCATGTAATAGATCATAAAACAAGTGGTGGCAATTTCAGAAGATTGAAATCATACCAAGACTCTTTTACAACCACATTGGTGTGATACCAGAAACTACTACAGTACAAAGCTAGAAGAAAATTTAAATATGTAAAAATTTTACAGCGCACACCTGAGCAACCAGTTGGTCAAAGAAGATATTAAAAATATCTTGAAACAAATAGAAATAGGTTTGAATCTTTTGTGTTTCTATCAGTTCTAAGAGGGAAGTTTACAACCATAAATGTCTACATTAAGCAAAAAAGAATGATTTCAAATAAACAACCTACCTTATACTTCCAGGAACTAGAAAAAGAAGACAAACTAAAGAGAGGAGACTCAAATAAAATCAGAAATGAAAGAGGAGACATTACAGCTGATAAGTACAGAACGCGAAGGGTCATAAGGGACTGCTATGAATAGTTATACACCAAAAAGTTTAGAAAACCTAGAAGAAATGGACAGAACGAGAGAAACATGCTGTTTTCTCTTCAGGAAGCTGTCTTCTCAGCTGCATTAAATGCCAGCCCCACGAACAGTTTTTTGAGTGGGACGTCTTGTGAGTGGGGTTGCTTTACTCATACTTCTTTTCTTGTGCTCACTTTTTGGAGATTAGCTTTTTGTTTTGCTAGGTTAGGCTATTGTGAAATAGTTTCTAAATTTTTCGGTTTGTGAATAGTTTCATTTTGGCTTCACATTTAAATGACAGTATCTTTAAAATTAGAATAGAGGTTTAATATTTTCCCCAAGAACTTTATAGACTTTGCTCCACAATTTTGTAGACTTTTCTTTCTATTTAGTATTATGTGTCTAATGCTGATTTTCCTCACTTGTCAATTTTTATTTCCCACTTATTTTTATCAGTAAGATTCTAGATTGAGTAGTGCCAAGAACTGTTGGTATGTTACTGATGGTCCTGTAGGTAAGATGGCCTCTGTCCTCCTGGCTTTAAGTAGTTTAAGTAGTTGCAGAACCGTGGCTGGTCCAGAGGAGATGCCTTGATGTATGCTAGGGGTTCCCATCGTCTTCCCAGGCAGGAAGGGGGACTTTGAGGATTTTGGACTCTCTCTGATTAATGGAAAGAATGACTTTATTCCAAGGTAGTTTGTCTTAATTGGACATTTCTTTCTGAATCCTTATACAGATGAAAATGTTTTCCTTCAGACGTGGACATTAATTTGCTGTGGTATATTTTCTTGAGTGTCTCTGTCTTCTTTGCCAAGACTTACTCTTTCTTACTGCTTAGTACAGTGATTCTCAAACTTTAGCATGTGAAGGAATCAACTGGAGGACTAATTAAAACACAAATTGCTGGTCCTTCTTCCAGAGTTTTGGAGTTAGCAAGGTGTGGTGGAGTCTAGGGATCTGCGTTAGAAACAAATGTTGCTGCTGGTTGTGGAACCACATTTTTTGAACTCTTGATCTAGAATAAGTGTTGAAGAAGAGAAATTTTAGACTAGCCTGATTTTTTTCTTCTGCGTGAATGCGTGTAATAAAAGATTTCTTTAATAACTAATTCAGAATTTTTATTTGGATATGATAGAGTGGGTTTGGTAGTATTTTTTTCTTTTGGTGGCAAATTAATTAGTGTAACGTATTTTCTAAGTGATAAGTGCTGGTATTTTGAACAATATGATTGGTTTTGTGTATTCATTCTCTCTCACAATCTTCCAAACTAGTACTTTGCATTTTCCACTAAAATATCAAGTAGTAGTGTAATATTTTGTATTTTGATTTTTAGGCTTGTTAACACAGCAGAGTTATATTGAAGAGGTAATGTTGGTGAGATAATGCTTTTCATTATTGTACTCTGCTATATGCAAAAAATAATGCTCTTCTGAGGGGAATTTAAATATTTCTTACCTATTTTAAGAAAATAGATCATACGTGTGAATTTTGGGACCTTCTAATATAGATCTGTAAGAATGGAAAATTCTTTTTTTTTCCTAGAGCTAAGTTGTCTATGCAAGGTATACTGAAACTCTATCTGTAAATATAAACATATTGTTATTTTGGATTATAGATTTATAGTTTTATTTTAGTAACTTGTGCACTTTTGTGATTGAAAATTTTGAGAGACTTGATTTAAACATTTTATCATGTCATACATTGTGAGGAATCTTATTTATAAAGTTTTAATTAAAACTTTATTTTCCAGATTTTGGAATCTCTTTTTAAGGTATGTTCAGTATATTGCCTACTAAAATTTAATGTAGAAATACATGTAATTGAAAAAGAGTTTTCTAAGTTTTGAGGAAGTAAAGGTAACTCCTCAACTTACTACTATATATATTAAAAATTTTGTGTTTCAGTTGTATGTTGCTTTAGTCCCATTCTAAACCCTAGGATAAATGATGTTTTGTTCAGGACTAATACTTGATAGATATTCATACACACACACACACACACACACACACCCACACCCACACCCACACCCCCACACCCCCCCCCACACACCTATTTATTTCACTGAAGAAATTAATTTGTTAATATTATTTCTTTTCTATTCCTTTTTTTATAAAGTGGTTTCAACGACAGGTCAATCAGATGGAAGAGGTAAATACAACATTTCTTAATTGTTAATTAAATTAATATTATGTCTGATTTGAAAACCAGTTTGAGATATAAGGTAAAATTTTAAAAATAATTATTGGTTATAATCTTTTGATTCAGGTAGTGGAGTAAATGGGCAGAATAAAGTATTTCTCAGTGATTGATTATACAGTGTCCTTGCATATATCTGGTATACTATGAATTTGGCCCATTCTTTCTCCTAAAATTAAAAAATGGAAATTTAGTTAGTATTTTTTCATAATTTAAATAAAATAGTAAACAAGTGGCAAGAAAAATCTTATCAACTTAAATTTTTTTCCTGTATTTAAAAAGTCATGTATAATATGATATATGCTTACTCATTAAGTTATATATTGGTTTTCTTTAAATTTAATGTTATTTTAATGATTTTTCTTCTTAAACTTTTAGTTTTAGGTACTTTGCTACCAGCTTGAAAACTTCTGGTCTCTATCCTTAGGGGTTTTAAATTCTATTTTGGAAAATATTTTATGTATGCTGTTAATTATAGCAGAATGATTTCCAGGTTAGCTTTAGTGAATTGTTGAATTATTCTAGTTTTATCTGGGCTGTGCTTACAGTTTAGCCAAATTAAATACTCCTGAAGTCCAGGTACTTTAAATTAGAGAGGTTCATTTATTTGAGATATAAAATTAGAGAGTAAAGGTAGAAATCGTAACTGTCTCTTAGTATCTTCTTATTTTACCTCTGGCACTAGAGCAGGAAGCTCTTGTGCTCTTACCCTCTTGGCCTGAGCACGGACATCCCTGACCTCAGAACGGTCCCTGTTAGACTGTAGTGGGTTGGTTGTTACCTTTGCAGAGAAGTAGGGTTGAGGTGAAGCCCACTATCCCCGACCCTCTTGTAAAATGTGTACTTTTTTGCAATTTGGGCAGTTTGGCTTCCTTTATGTCTTCTTCTTTTATCTTCCATCCTCTTTTTATTCTATTTTATTTATAGATTTGTCTCACTTTCTTCTTTTCACAGTTAGTCCTGTCAGCGTGTAAGACCTTCCCAAACCCCTGACCTCTCAGTTCCTTGACCTCTATCTTCAGAGATCTAGGGCCCTCTTTTTCTTTCTTTTTTTTAAAAAAAACTCTGGCCCAACTTCCAGTCACAATCTGAACCTTATCATTAATCAAATAGCTTTATTTTAAAAAATCATTAATTTAAGCAACTCGTTCTTGAACTACAAATTTCTGTCTTTCCAGTTACTACTTTAAATACTGCTCTGGCCACTCTGTGACTTCATCAGGACCACCAGTTCATTTATTCCTTTACTTTCTTGTTGTCTTTTTACTCATTTTTCTTTTCAGCTTGGAGACTGTGTACTTCGTGTCAGTGAATTCCTTCCCAATCCCTTCATCTCTTTTTGTTGTACTTGTCTAACAGAACTGCTAACTAAAACTTGGCACTTGCCATCTGCCTCTACAAGCATTGGATCATGTTGGCATTTACCATCTGCCTCTGCTTGGATTAAGTCCCGAGCCACTGCAGCCACTGGCCTCCAACATCCCCTGAAAGGAGTTCAGGGTGGAGGTCAGGAATGGGGTGGTCTGTGCTCTGGGGAAACTGGCTGAATAGGTCTTCAGATAGTTAGGTATTTTCAGGAGAAAATTTTATGAGCCCAATTCTTGCATCTCCTCCTATCTAGAAAAGCACTAAAGTCATTAACGGTGACATCTGCTCCTCGTGACCAGCAGCAGCCTCTGGCTAAACATGTGTTTGACTGCACGTACCCCCCTTCACTGAAATCGTATCTAGTACTGAGTTTTCTCCTGGCCTCTTTGGAACAGTTTCTCAGAGCTCTCTGGGATGCTGTCTCCTGGGCTATAGTCCTCATCTTGCCCCAAATAAAACTTAACCCACAACTCTCACATTGTGTGGTTTTATTTCAGTCAACAGAACAAAACTTTGAGTAAATGTAATTATATACTCTTTGGGCCTATAGCTTACCTTTGAAATACTGCTGAAGAAAGTAACACAGTAGGTCAGGCACAATTATTACAAGTACTGCCTGGCAATTCTGTTGAATTTCTGAAATGAGTTTCTGCCATCTGAAACCCAGCTGCTCTGCTGTGTTTCCATCTTCACTCTCAGCCAGCCTCTTGAAATGCTTTAAATACACGCCACAGGTTAGAACCCCTTCAGTTCTTGCTTCCAAACAAAAACTTACTTATATCATACTTGTTCTTTCTTTCGTTCATCCCGCTGAAAAGAGACACTGTTCCTTGTCCCACGCAGAACTCAGTCTCGCACCTGTTTTGGATCTTATCTCTTAAGAAACTTGATTAATCATTCTCTTATGTAAGACTCAACTTTTTATTCAGTTGTGTCCTTCCTTTTAGTTTTTCAGTGTGCTCATGTCTTTAATTTGATGCCACATTCCCCTTCGGTTGTAGGCCTGTCTCTCTTTTGACATTCATAACCAATTTTTTAAAACTATACTATATTCAAGTACTCACATGAGGGAAGAAGTTAGGCTGTTGTTAGAGAATAAAGGCAAAAACAAAGATTGTAAAATAGGGGAGGAAAAAACCTTGCAGATAGTTTAGGAGCAGTAAAACTAGTTGAATTTAAGAAAAAGTGTTAAATCACCTGAAACTGGCACCTAGTGAAGCAGTTAATGTGGGCATTCTTTCCTTTAAAGAGCCAACTAGGCATAGCAAATAAACAGATTAGAATTGTTTATGGATTTCCTTTAGAACCTTAACAGTTTAGCTGAGCACCGTATTTTACAGGTACAGGGCTCAATTTTTTTTTTATATCAGTTTTCTGTGTTTTCTGTTCTTACTGCTGAAGCATTACTCAGCCTATCCAGACTGGATTGTGTCTTCAGAACGCAGGAGACGTTCTGTATGGGTCTCCCCAGCTTACATGTCGTTAGATGGAACAGACAGTTTTATTTACCTCAGACACGTTAACATTGTTGATGACTTCCTCATCTTTAAGACACTGTTACTTTGGCTTTTGTGAATTACGCGTTCCTGGCTAATGTTTTCCCCACTTTGGCTGTCCTCTTTTTAGAGTCAGCTTCTTTATCTGACTATTAAATGTCAGAGTGCCTCAAGATTTTATCTTGGCCTTTTTTTTTTTTTCTCTTGGCTTTTCCCCTAGACAGCCGCATCCAGTTTCTCCATTCAGGTGTTATCTTTATGCTGGTAATTTAGAAATATTCTTGCTCAAAACCATCCTCTGAATTCCTAATGTTTGTATAATTACCTGTTAGACTGTTCCACCTCAGACCCAATTGGTCAAAATCAAGAACTTTTTACCCCTAAACTCATACCCCTCCAAGTGTTCCCTATCTCAGTGAATGATAGTACCATCTATCCAATTGGATAAACCAGAAATACAGTAATTTACCTTGGCAGTTTGAGTCTGTTTGTCCTTAACGTTCAGTCCTTTGATTTTGATTTTATGTCCCAAATAGTTGTCGAATGTGTCTTCTTTTCTCTTTGTCTATTCTTTGCATCTTAATGCTGATTCTGGTTGTCTCCAGTGTGCCTGGGTCCTGATTTATGCATTCATGTTCATCAGGAATAGTATTCAGTAGACAGCTGAACTTCCTGTCTGGAATTTTAAGCTTTTCATATTTGAAGCCATAATTATTCTCCTTGGTTATTTTCTTAATTTGTTGTATCAGATACGTTACCTACGTGTTTGTATTACCTTTGCCCTTCGAGGAGTGTTCTTTAAAGTGTGGTTGGTGCATCATGTTTAAACATCACCCAAGATACAAATATACACTGCAGAGCTCCAAATCAGACTTACTGAGTTAGTTTTTTTGTTTGTTTTGTTGTGTTTTAGTTTTTTTTTTTGATGTGTGAGTTAGAAATCTGCCTTTTTAACAGACTCCCATAGAGGATTATTATGCACACTAAGACTTCAGAATCTTGGAATAATCTTGTTTTCATTGTTGACACAGTTTATTGTCAGTACATACTGGTGGGGGTAATGCATGTGGTTGTGTTATATTAACAGAGACACATGTTGAAGCCTTCAGAATGTATGGTGAGTGGCATTAGAGAAATTTAGGATAAGCGTATAGCCTCATGTTTCAGTTGTTCTGCTGGATAAACCTGTGCCCAGTACGTCTCTTTGATGAAGTCTTGGTTGATAATTCCATATTCCTTTAATTCTGTGGCATTAGCTCTTCTCCCAGAGAGGATTTATGTTCAAATTTAATCCATACTGGGTGATTGTATCAGTTAAGGTCCAATCAGAAGACAAAAACCACAAAATAATGAGTAGGGGAGTTTAATGTAAAGAATTCTAACAAATATAGCTATTAAAGAGGTGAAGACAACTCTACAGAATGCAAGGACACTTGACACAGAGGGGCAGCCTATGCCTCTGGGAAGGAAGCAGGGCTCACAGGGAAGGAACAAATCTCAGTGACCCCATCTGCCTCCCCCTGCCCAGAGCTAGGATCCAGACCTCGTGCACAAGGAGAGGCTGTCACTGTTGGATGGCAGAGATGTCTCCTGGGGTTCCCTGCTGGTGGAACTGGAGCTCACTGGGAAGCTACCCACGAGGTTGGCACAGTGGGAAGCTGTCCTCTGTGGTTCTGGAAGAAGCCATCCTCCCGGGAGGGGCTGTACCTCTTGCTGGGAAATTGTCCATGAGGGTGGCATGCTGGAAAGCTCCCCGAAGGGAGGTTCTGCACTAGTGTGTCTTGCTGAGAAGTTCTGGGAGAAACCACCTGTGGGGCTTGTGCCATGCCAGGGGCCTTGCCAGGAAGCCAGCGTGGGGGTGGTGCTTTTGAAAATCCCTGGAGGTGAGTCTGCTAGGTACAGTGTACTGTCCTAGAAGAAAAGTTTCCTCTTCCTCTAGTGTCTGGGACCCTCTGCTGACAACAGTTGGCATCATGCTGCCTGTCAAGATAGAACTGTTCCACTAATGTATACCGGACAATGAAGGATAGGTTTGAGACGAGCAGCAGTAAGTGGGTAACTAGCTGATGTCTGTGTCACTCCTCAGGTTCAGTTTATGGTTGCTGCCCTCTCACTTGGGACCTCGCCCCCGTCCACAGGGTGTTCCTACACCCCCTGCTTCCCCGCCACTTGTTCTGCTTCCCACGGTCTCAGACTTCCAGCACATTGCCTTCTACTGTCGTATCTTAATCCCACTCCAGGGAGTGGGATTTAAATTCCCATTGTTGGAATTTCTCTTTGCTTGGTGCTAGGACCATGCCTTGACAGCTTTTTTTTTTTTTTAGCTTTTCCTCCATCATAAGGATTAGAATTCTCTTTCAAATATTTTGAATTGTCTTTAACTGATCCTGGCTATAATTGTTATTTAACTGGCTTAGAATTCTTCTGTATTAAAATAATAAACGGAAGATTGGATTTGAGTTTCGACATGTAAAAGTCAACACCTAGCTATAATACTATTGCTAGGCAATAGCTTATGTAATTCTACTTGCAAAATACTAGTATTTGATTATAGCTATAGATAGATAAGCATAATATAAAAGTTATTTGAATATGATAAATGAAATGATGAAATCTCTTTGAGGCATGGGAGCAAAATGGGTATTTCCTAAGTAACTGGCTGATTTTATTATTTTAGATAAGTAAAGGTCAAACTTTTTCAAGAGCGGAATTTTCAGTACCCGATGAAACAGTCAGTTTAAGCATTGCACGACTAGCAAAGCAGCTACAGATACTTGAAGAGCTGAGAAATCGCCTTAAAGGAAAGTGTAAATACTCCTTCAAGGAAGCGTCCAAACCTAAGTGAGTAAAATGCAAGAGTTAAAAGAATTAAAAACAGTAAGAGTGGGTATGTAGTTAGTAATGAGTGTAAGATAACGGTTAGGTGTGACACTGCACACAGAGAGCTGCTGGATCAAATCAGAGGGTCTAGCAGCTTGTTCTTATTTGAAATTTTTAATGGTTTGAAATGGCACCAGGACATGTGGCTATTAAAATTCAATTCAATTTAATTAAAAAACCAGTTCTTTAGTCACACTAGCCACACTTCAAGTGCTTTGTAGCCACCTGTGGCTGCTGTTAGAAAGTTCTCCTGGGCACTGCTGGCTATGAAATACCTGGCTTCTGATCCCTTGCTCGGTTGGATTAGGTAGCTTTCACAATAGACAGGAAACTGTTTAAGGTGTAATTATTCACTATTCAAGAACACCATCATTAAAAGTTGCGTAGGGACAGGGATGTGCTCCAAAGAATAAATTTCTCCTTTTTAGTTGAGAAAGCCCTTTTTTTTGGTAGGTGGGAGGAAGATTCAGATGAGTGATACTCTGGTTATTTGTTGACACTGATGTTTGCTACTTGAGGTTTAAGCTGTCTTGAAATTAAATATACAAATCATTTTCTTAGGATATCTTCAGTGATTTGTTTTGTACCTCCATGGTTACCATTTTTTTCTTGTGGTGAGAACAAATCTACTCTCAAGAATTTTAGGTATCCAATACAATGCTATTGTGAATTGTAAACACTGTGCCGTACATTAGATCTCCAGAACTTATGCAACTTATAGCTGAAAGTTTATAGTTTATACATTTTTTAAAAAAATCAGTGTCACCCTATCAATAAAAAATGTTAAAACAAACAAAATCAATAAAAAAGTTAAAAAAACCCCAAAAAACAAAAAAATGGACACATTGTAAAATGATTATAAATCAATAAAAAATGTTAAAAACAACAACAACAACAACAACAACAACAACAACAACAACAAAATCAGTGTCACCCCATTTCACCAATCCACCAGCCCCTGGCAACCATTCTAATCTCTGGTTCTAAAAGTAGGACTTTTTAACTTCCACATATAAGCGAAATCATACAGTGTTTGTCTTTCTCTGGCTTATTTCACTTAGCACAGCATCGTGCAGTTCATCCATGCTGTCACAAACGCAGCATTTCTGTTGTGTGTGTACCAAGTGAATGTCATCATTCACTCATCCACTGATGAAAACGTGGGTGGTTCCCCTATCTCGGCAGTTGTGAATACTACTGCAGTAAACACGTTGGCAGTTTCAATCAGGAAAAGGTGTTGAATTTTGTGAAATGCTTTTTCTGCATCTGTTGAGATGATCGTATGGTTTTAACCTTCCATTAGGTTAATCGAGTGTATCTCACTTTCTGGTTTGCGTATGTTTGACATCGTTATATCCAGAGATGAATCTCATTTGCTCAAGGTGTATGATACTTTCAATGTTGAATTTAGTTTTTTAGCATTTTTCTGAGGATTTTTGCGTCTTTGTTCATCAGGGCTATTGGAATTGTAGTTTTCTTTTCGTGGTTGTAGTAGCAGGTTAATGTTAGCTTCATAAAATGAGTTTGGGAGTGTTCCCTTTCTTCAGTTTTGGGACTACTTTGAGAAGAATTGGCATTAATTCTCTTAATGTTTCATATGATTCACCTGTGAAACCATCTGGTCCTGGGTTTTTATTTGTCGGGAGTTTTTTGATTACCTAATTAGTTCTGGGTCTCTTCAGTTTATTTTTATCTTCATGGTTAAACTTGGTAGGGTGTATGCTTCTAGGAATTTACTTCTAGTGTTACACAATTTAAGTGGTGTATAATGTTGACAGTGATCTCTCTTGGTTCTTTTGTACTTTTTGTTGCTGTATAATTGATGTAAAATATTAGTGCTAATTTCAGACACACAACATAGTGATTTGACATTTAACTGTATTGCAGATGATCGCCATGGCAAGTCTAGTCACCGTAAAAAATTACCACAGTATTACCTAGGATATTCTTTTTTAAAAAATTGAAGTATAGTTGATTTAAAATGTATTAATTTCTGGTGTACAGCATAGTGATTCAGTTATACATATATATTCTTTTTCATATTCTGTTTTATTATAGGTTATTACAGGCTATTTAATGTAGTTCTGTGTGCTCTACAGTAGGACCTTGTTGTTTATCTGTTTTATATATAGTAGTGTGTATCTGCTAATCCCAAACTCCTCTTTTATCCCGACTCCTCTTTGGTAGCCCTAAGTTTGTTTTCTGTGTTTGTGAGTTTGTTTCTATTTTGTGAATAAGTTTATTTGTGTCATTCTTTTAGATTCCGCATGTAAGTGATACCATATGATTTTTGTCTTTTTCCCTCTGACTTTACTTGGTACGATGATCTCTAGCTGATTCATAATCGTTATAAACTGCATCATCTACCCAACTCTTTCCCAGTTTATTCTGCTAAATTTCCTTGGTACGGTTCTATCCGCTTTCACTGTTGTATCTTAAAAACTATTTTTTTTAATATGCTTTTGTTTACATGATTGGCCAGCAGTCAGGCCGAAATAGCAGCACCGTGGCATCGGTGAGCTGGCTTGTCATGCTTCCGCATGTTAGGCTGGCAAGGAGACATTGGACGCCGAGGTGGTGAACACTTGATTCCATGCACAGAAAGCACAGGCAGGGGCAGCACGGTGCTGGCACCCGGTGTTCCTAGTTTCCCTGGACAGCACAGAGAAGGGGGCCAGATGACTGAGCAGACAAGTGGTTTGCTGCTCTGCCATGGAGAAGCCAAATCTAAACGACAGCCATGCAGCTTTGTGGTCGTACAGAGGGACCATCAGCTGTTCTGTAAGAAAGAGACAGGTAAAAGTCTGTGCTCAGCTGAAATTAGGGAAGTAGATGAGAAATGGGCTTGTGTCAGTCTTCCAAAGATAGGAGTGAGAAACTGTCTCATGGAGACTCTTCAACCCGGCTTCTCTTTCTACAGCAGAAATTTCAGGGCATTCTACTGAGATTTGGGTCTGACTGCTGTCAAGCCTTGCTTATGTGGCCTTTGTGGACCTGTGTGGTATTGTGTGCAGTGGGACAGGTGTTCCCTTGTAACACTGATTCCCAAGTGGTGGCTGTTTTGTGCCCCGGAGGACACTTGTCTGTAGACACTTTGGCTGTCACAACTCCAGTTGGGAAACGCTACTGGCACTTGTGAGGCAGGGTTAGAGACACGGCTAAACATTCTAAGGTGCTCCAGATCGTCCCTCATGACAGAGAAGCATCCAGTCTAAACTGCCAGCGGTGCTGGGGCTGAGAAACCCTGTCCTGCAGTGATCTCCGTGTTACTTCTGTCTTGTCCCCTATTACTTGGCATCCAATAATATACCTAATAATTTCATTATGAATTAATCAATTATTAGATATTATTTTAAGTTAATAATTTATTAATTTAATCTCTCATGTGTAAGCTTTCCTCCCAAGACTGTTACTTCCTCAAGATTAGAACCAGTCATGCATGTCTGCATGTTTCCTATCACATGTAATAAACTGTAAATAAATATAAGTAATTTTTATGAACAGCTGAATGAAATCAACTCCAACTCATTTGTTCCGCTATCCCCAGCCATATCTGGTATAGTAACTTGTCCAAGTAAAACTTTACATTTGTAAACAGTCATTTTTTTGTATTAAACATACACAAAATTACTTTATTTTACTTAAAGTAGGAAGCACCCGTTGTTGGGAAGGGCTGCTGTTTACCGTGCAGTTGCCTTGCTGATTTCTCCGTCTGTTGAGGACTAGACCTGCAGGAATGATGGAGTGACACTTGAGCTGGCTCTGCAGTTACAGAGCCTTGGCTCAGAGGTTCGGATCTGTTCACTTGAGCTGTCTACTATGAGTCATGACATTAATTTCAGGCCATGTATTAACGTTAATACCTGCATTTTGAGTGTCTGATGTGTTCCAGGTGTTTTCCTAGTAACTACATGTGCCCTTTGGTCCTTACAACTGCTTTATGAGATTGGTACTCTAATACCACAGTTCTGACAGATGAAGAAGCTGAGGCTCAGATTAAGCAACTTACCAAACGTCATGTATTTAGTGGGTAAAGCAGGTTTTGAGCCAGGCAGTCTGGTTCCAGAGCTTGTGCTTTTAATAATTGAGTACATCATTAATAATACAGTAGTGAAAAGAAAACTCATGCTTCTGCCCAATTTAGTTTTGCTGTTTTTTAATGTTATTGTTGGTATATGTAATTATATTCATGGAATGCATAGAAATCATAGAATCACATAGTTGGACTTTTTTACTTACTTACTTGCTAATTATTTATCTGAATGCCTATGAATAAAGGTTAACAAACATGTTAAATTTTATTTTATAAACTGCCTATATCTAGAGAATATGTTCTACTTCTTAAATGTGATTTAAGTTCTTATTCTTTGATAATAAATAAATGTTTTATTTATTGGGATTTGAGCAGGGATACTGAAAATCCACCAGCAGCACTGAAGAGTTATGAAAGTGTAGAGCAGAAAATTGACGGTAATGATACTCTATACATATGTAGCCTTTATAGGGTTTCCTAAACTCAACATTTGGAGACTTATAGTTTAAAGATTTGTAGCCATAAAAGTTATACAGTGGTAAATTTAAAAAGGTATTCAGGGGTGAGTTTGCTGTTTTCAATATAAACTCTTAGTATGTTCCAGATTCTGGGAGTACACAAACTTAATAAAACTCGGTTGTTACCCTTATAAAATCCACAACATAGTAAGGATGCAAACACATTATGTATCATTTAAATATAGTCTGATGCGTGATCAGATATGTGTAATTTGCAGTGAGTCCACAGAAGGGAGCCAGTTGGTTCAACCTGAGGGAGTTAGAAAGGTTTTATGCAGCCTTAAGGGATGAATAGGAGTTCTTCTAGTGAAGAAGGGAGATATTTGGTATTCTGAGAGGAGGGTACAGCATGAAAAACGCATGAACAGGGAGCCACCAGTGGCTGACATTGAAGTGTGAAGTGTGGGCAA